CGGCATCAGTCCTGCTTCTCATTCATCTGGCTAATCACTTGCTGTTCTGCTGGGTGTAAATTTCCTTTCAAATCCTGGCAATACTGATTCTTTTCTTTTGCTTGCTACTTAATTACCTTTTTCCTGAACCTCCTGGTGGAGTTGTGAAGAAATCTTAGGAGTAAAGTTAGGTTCCGTAGGTTCCAGTAGGTGCAAATGTTTGCGTTTGTGCGGTTTGGTTTGTCAGGTCTGTGGTAGGTTGGTTCCTACACTGTGTTGAGTAGCCAGCTGTCCTTACTTAAAGCCAGAGTCGTTGGCTAGTTAATGGCTGAACTGTAGTAATAGTTCTAGGAATGTCTGGTTAATATAACTAGTAATGAGCTAGTTAATGACTTTGTAGCTGAAGTGGCTCTTTCCATTATTAATGGCTGTGTTTTCTAATTATTTATAGCTCACGTTGACGCCAGCCCAGCAACAGTTATTGCTACAACAGGCGCAGGCACAGTTGCTGGCGGCTGCAGTGCAGCATTCAGCCAGTCAGCAGCACAGCGCTGCTGGTGCCACCATCTCGGCCTCTGCTGCAACGCCGATGACGCAGATCCCTCTATCTCAGCCAATACAGATTGCACAGGTGAGCCTTGAGGCTTTAGAGGGTGGAAAGTAAACAGGTTTGACTAATTGCATCATTCAAATAATATTTTTATTCCTTATTCAGTGAGTTTCTAGAGTCCTTGAGTACTGTTAGTCTTTCCTCATGCATCCTTAGCTGATGAGGTTGAAGTTGATAGTTTTAGCAAAGAAGGCATACCAGCTGCTCATCAGTTCCACTGGGCTTCTGAGTTTGTTCCAGAATCTGACCAGATGCTCTGTTTTCTGAATTTTCCTCCTTGTAGTTAGCTTGAGAAAGGAGAAAAAGGGGTGTAGAAAGATGCCCGTAGAAATGACACTTGTCGAGACCTGTATGAATGGGAAGTGATACCTACATATCACAAAGGATGCTTGTTAGATCCAAACAGCAAAATGATAGAGCTGAAGAAAGGCAGTTTGACTTGACATACGTGTGTGCTGTTTTGGCTTGGTGCTTAATGCTCAGAGTTCAGTGACAAAGAATGGGCACTCTTGTGTGTCTAGAGAAAAAAACTTGCCAGAATGAGTCTGGTGTCGGAATCTGTCCAGTTTTATGGTCTGCTGCTAAAGACCTATTAATTCTTAATTCTGAAGAACTGCTTGCCAAGGAAGTTCTGCTTACTGGGAGCAGGGAAGATCCTCCTGGGTCTTCCAGGATTGGCTTAATTCAGTGTGGAGAATGCAGCGCCGTTGACTGTATGCTTGGCATATGTGGAGTGGAAACTCCTTAGACTTCTGGACAAGGGCAACCGCATGTACAGCATAGGCATCCTCAGTACTACTACTAGTAAGTGATTGTGTTGCTCATGCTGAGATCCATCTTTCCATAGATTAAGGTTCTCAGTACATAGTATTTCAGTTTGATTAGTCTAGCTGTACAAAGTATGCAGGGTATGTAATCTCTAAAGTTGCTGCTTCTTACATGAGCAGGTTCTTTAAGACTGTGTGATGCTTTCTATTCAGACTATTTTCACTTGCATTCAACTGAGATCAAGTGTCTAAAGTGAAGATGAGGGCTGATTAAGTAAAAGAATGGAAATGTCACAATTATCTGTGAAGTCTGTTGGTGAAATGTAACCTAAATGTAAGTGATCCACAGGTGCGTGCCTCTTGTCTTCCAGGTGTGCAGCTTAAGATAGTGAGGTCTGAAGTGCAGAGCATTCAAACTTCGTATTAATAAAAACTATACCTTGAACTTTCTGGCTTTACATTTGTCAAATAGGCCACCAAATTAGTGGATACTTTTGAAGGCATTGTTGTGTGTGTGTGAGATCTTGCTAATCCTGCTCTTCCACTTCAGTGGGAAGCTATGAAAATGTGTGAAACATTTACAATTATTAATTTAGTACTGGATTTTTCTCCAGAACTTGCAAAATAGTGTTTGAGAAGAGTTGAAAAGATCAGGCATGTGCTGTCAAATAGGAGCTTCTGAAGCGAGCCTTGTCTGGTCTGTGCGCGTGAATAAGCTAAAGGCTCTGTGAACAATAGCATGTGATCAAGTGGTTGCCACCATATAATGTGTATTTGTAGCACAAGGGGGACAAATTAAAATTTCACTTGTTTTCTGGCATTCCCAATTACTTAAATGTTTGACTTTACAATTAATTTATTTTAGGATAGGTTATTTTGATATATAAATGTAGCTTGGTTGAATCTTGTTAGCTTCTTATGATGATGAACGTGCAGGGCATAATTTGTGCAGGTGTTGGATATAATTTGATATACTTGATGGAAAACTTCTACTGTCTAGGTTTGTAGGTGGATAACACCATGCATTTTGATCCGTCTTGTCAATGATTTATAAACAGTGATCAGCTTTGTTTGCATTGCTATTGTAAACATATAGCTGATTACACAAATAACTGAATGTTTCAATTGATTTTTGAATAATTGATTAACTGGCAGGTCTCTGCAGCAGGGGGATTACCATATTTATTTTAATTAACTAATTGCACAAGCATGACTTCTTTAATGTGCGCTGCAGTTAATGTAAGGTATCTACTGCAGCAGTCTGGTAAGATGCTGGTGCTGCTGCTGAGCTGATACTAGATTGTCACTAAACAGTTGTACCAAATTTTGGAGTTCTTTGTGAACTTTACTTGTTTTCAGGATCCACGATCAGTATTTGTATGATGTAAACCTCAAAATGACAGCGATGCTTAAGTTTGTACTGAAGTTGTAACTAGAGATAACAGCATTGAATTTAGAACTTTAGATGTGTGGGGTTTTTTTAACAAAACAAAACAAACCAAACCCCCAAAAAACCCAAAGAACTTTCTCGTGTTAAGATGTAGCACTTGGCAGATTATTCTACCGAGGTAAGAGTTGGATTGTTTTGACCTTTTTAAACTGTTAGGCAGCACCAGAAGACATGCATGTTTCCCCCAAAGTCTTTTAATCTCTTTCTATGTGCTTGTGCTAGTATACAGATTTTACCATTGAGGGAAAAAAAAGATCAGTATAGGAAAACAGTGTCAGTGTTGTTCACATGGTTGCTATTGGGAGATTTATTGTAATGCTACAATTAACTAAATAATAAAACTTTCCCAAGGTAGAAATCAAGTTGGATTTCAAATGAATTTGCAGGACTGGTAGCGCTATTTTAGAGTGATTAGCCTTGGAGGTATCATTTCCATTCTGCGTTACAGAATTGTATTTCTGTATTTAAACAAGACTCAGCCAACATACCATTTACCAAGGCAGATGCACAGAATAAGATTGCTTATACCAGTTATCCCTGAGGCCTCAATTTAAAAACAGTTTTCTCATATTAAACTGTAAGAGACTGATGATAAGAGCTGTCATGTCTTAGCTGGGTACCCTGTAGTATGAATACTATAGTCTTAAACAAAAAGCTCTCCTCCTTTGGTCTTACAAATACACTGCCACTGTTTCTTTGTATTCTTTCTTGTATGTAACTCCATCTCCTGTGGTGCTTCTTCAAATCATCTGAAATCTACTTGATAATCTCAGGGGGTTTCATTCATTTGCTTTTGGTGGGGGAGATCCTCAACCTATCTGTTTTTCTGTCCATACTTTTTCCTTCAAAAATTTCTTCCTACTCTTCTTTTTGTGTTTCTACTGTTTCTCTTATCCACCTCTGTTGTCATCCTTCAGCCTCTCTTTATTTCTTTTTTTCTTCCATGCAGCATTCACAGCCTTAGTCAGCTTGCCCTACTCTTTCTGTTTCTGTTTCTTCCTCTGTGTCTAGTCCTTGCATCCAAATCAGTGTGAGCCCCTCTGTGCTGGAGGGTCTGCTCAGTCTGCAAACGTAACTGTTAGAGCGTTGAAAATCAGTAAACAAATGAAGGGAGGTCCATGTTGTGTTGGGCTCAAGAAGTAAGAGTTTTTAGCAGTGTTTCTGACCAATGTAGCCTTATGATACAAATTCAGAAGAAACATGGAATTCCTGGGAAAAATGGGAGCAGTTGTATCTCTCTTTTTTAGGGAGGAGATTGGCCTCGATTTCATAGGAATGGTTGCAGTACTTCTCAAACTTTCTGAAAGCAAACAATATGTCAGATTTAAAAACACTCTGTTACACTGGGGGATGCTTTTTAAAATTTTACCGTTCTCTTGTAAAATGGAAGTTTCCATTTCTTAAAAAGCATTGCTTCATCAATCCATCTGGTGTCTGTCTACCGTATTATTACAGTGCATGCTTTTGACTTAACATGACCAAGTTGCCTAAGTGATTGATGGCCAGTGTCTTTGTAATGCAGGTTAAGTAGTTGTTTTCTTATAATACATGTCTATGCCCTCATAAATCAATGGACTCTTTTTTTCTTTTTTTTCCTCCCCTCCCTAATCTTCCTTTCCGCCCACTGACACTCCCCACTCCTCCCCAGAAGGAGATTGTTGCAACTTTTGAGTCTTACTTCAACAGTTTTAAAATAATGTAAGGTCATAGACAGATAACTATATTCTGCAAATGGTTGTGCTGTGTAAATAAAAAATTATCCTTGTCAGTCTGTCTTGACTTTCCATTACCATCTCCATTGCTGGCAGTTAATGGCCTTTTACATCTGCTGGCTGAGCAGCCTGTGCGAGTGCTCAGTAACCTGCATCAGTCAAAGTGTGTGGGGGCTACTTTACTGGCCTTAGGAAGCAGGTCTTTGTTAGTCTGGCTTACTTTAACTCAAGTATGTTAAAATGAGCAGCTCCATTCAAGCAGCCAGATTGAGCACTATTTAGGAGTGAACTGGCATTGTTAACATCTTCTGACACATTTGGACCCGGAAGAGGGTATCTATTTGCAAACAGGTACCCCAGTATCTGAGTAACTTAACTGAAATAGAATTTTGGGAGTGGTTTTTTTGTTTGATTTGTTTAATGGGAGTTTGTAAGTGTGGGAAATATATCAAGCTTTTATCCATCTGCTTGGTGGGTATTTTGAAACAGCTTCTTCTCAAAGGTGGAAAGATTCTACACATGTGTATAGATAGTTTTCACAGATTATCTCGGTTATGTTGGCTAGCTTCACATTGTACTTCAGTTTTCAAATTTCAGTTACTTTTGTTATTGTCCTGTTTGGAGACAACGAAAAGAAAAAGGCTAGTTCAAGGGGAATATTTTTCAGCAGTTCTCTGTTTTCATTCTTTGGCTAAACAGCAAGTTGAAGCATTTTTCTTGATGATTCAGTTTCTCAGACATTAGCATTTATGTTGAGACCAGTCATTTAATTATAGAAAATTAATAGTTCTGAATGCTTTCAATACATTAAAGTAGGGTTCTACAATACTGCAGTGTTTTGTGTTATCCCTTTTAACCTTTAATTATAGCCATGTCTATTAATCTTATTGTAACTTGTTTCAGAACCAATCAAATATATTTATTTACTATTTAAGTTAGCTGCTTCCCAAAATTTGACTTGAACAACCAGAGTGCAAACTAGAAGTCTGTAATTTTTTGCTTTGCCGTTGTTGATTAGAATGGTAATTGCAGATTTTTGTTGTTATAAACAAAAATAGCTCCCAGCTAATATGCTTGATTTGTCAACAATGAATTTTGTAACAGAGTTGCATCCTCAAAAAATAAGTCTAAGAAATCCAGGTGCTGATAAGTCTAAAATATTTGAAAACTTCTGCTTTTGAGGGGGAGGGAGATTGATTTTTTTTTTTTTTTTTTTTTTAAGGCAGAACAGTGCTGGAAATATTTTGCTGGGTTATTTGATAAACAATTTTTGTTTGGTTTTAGAAAGGACAGTGAAATTCAAATTGCCAGCCTAGAGGATATTCAGTAGCAGTACTGCTCAGTTTGACCTCCACTTTTATCTCTAAATGTTAGAATGTAACTGGTTGATAGGAAATCTAGTTACATTGGGAGTCATGGCTGACTTAAATGTCTAACACACAGCTCTTTCTTTTCCTTTTCCTTTTTTCTTTTTTTTTTTCTTTTTTTTCTTTTTCCCCCTTCCCCTGTTTCCTTAAGGATTTGCAGCACTTGCAGCAGCTTCAGCAGCAGAATCTCAACCTGCAACAGTTTGTGTTGGTGCATCCAACAACCAACTTGCAGCCAGCACAGTTCATCATCTCACAAACACCGCAGGGGCAGCAGGGTAAGTGCTCCTTGCTAGAAAAGAAAATCATATGAGGCTTTTTAGAGGAGAAGGTGGAAGTGAGGTGGTTCATACACCTTCACTAACTGTTGATATTCCCTCAAAGTAACAGTATTGCAATTAGGAGACTCTTAACAGGTTGTCCCTTTCTGGGGGTTAGATCTCAACCTTGTCAAAGTTTGTATAACTCAGTTCTCAAGGAGGATCAATCCAGAGATCATGTCATAGGAACATTTGGTAACAACAAGGCCTCTTGGGAAATACTGCAGCATCTGAATTTCTGGGTCAGGCTCTCAGGAAGGAAGCCTACTGGGAAGAGAACTTGGACAAGACAACTGTCCAGAACCCAAAGGCAGAATTCTAGGAGGTGGAGGTCTGAAGGGTGTCTGGATTAGGTCAATGCTCAAAGAGCTATAAAATTCTAAGACTGGAAAAAGGTTACAAAAACAAGAGTCCTTGTGGGAGACTGGAAAAGTCCTTAAGCCTAGAGAAGGGTACAGTGAATTTTGTCATGAACTGAAATAATAATTACACCTTGGGAAAAGAGCTAGAATGCTTGATTTTGTATAATGACTCCTGGAAATAATATTTTGGCGATGCACAGGGTGTGACTTACATGCTAAAGGCAAACCAAGGCAGTGGTAGGTGGTAGTGTGGGAGACCAGTTAAGATGTTGTACAGGAACATTGCTCTAAGAACTAATGTGTTCAGGTTGCAATACATCACAGTACTGATTGCACCCCGTTGTTTGATGCCCTCAGAAAACTGTGTTTAGCCATGGCCTCTTATGCTGATATACTCCAATGGTCTTTTTTCCTCCCTTTCTCTTCTACATGAGCTATACTCAGTTGTTCGGGTCTGGTAATCCAAAGATTCTTGCTCAGAAGGCAAATCCTGTTACGCTTCAAGAGTCCTCCAGAGCCTGGCTGTCCTATAAAGCAGCTCTTTGCACCTCATTTTCTTCTATTCCTTTCAATTTTTTCATGCATCATTCCTTCTTATGTACGATGACTGGGATAGAACTGGCTTTCTATTATGCTGAAGCTCTCTTACTGTCTGAATGCTCTCACATTTGAATAAAGGGTTAGTCAAAATTAACTTTCTTTTAATGGGACTTGATTTAGGAGAGCTTTTATACCAGCACTGGTAGAAAGTGGATAAAAGACTATTCATGGAGGCATTTAGTGATGTACTAGTTTCTTAAAACGAAGCAGAACTTATAAGCTTAATATATTCTTCTAGAAGAAATCAAACGTCACCAAAATTTAGTTCAAGAATTCTTTAAAATAGGCTTTTGGTTTTTTTATAAGCTCTTTTAAGGAAGCAGCAAGCACAAAAGCATCGTTTTGAAAAACTCACTGGTATTAATGTCTGCCTACATTTTCCAGCTAACTTCTGCTGGTTTTCTAAAATATCTCTGAAGATGCTTCACAAAAAAGGAAACTGACAGAAGCAAATTATATTAATCTCTTAATTAATTGTTTGCATTATAGAAAGGAAGGAAGACTTTTTGATTGTTTATTTAAAATCTTCTGAAGTAGAATAACTACCGGAAGAGCTTTTCATAGTACCTTTTCCAGGGCACATCTCTGAAAATGTTTTCTTCATTGCAATTTAAGACCTGCATATTGCTGTCTTCAGTGATGCAGTGTGTGTAGAAACACCATGTTTTACTGGTAATGTGCAGCCTGGGCAACTGAGTAGCTCAAAAATGTGGGAAGATTTATATTCTGTATTCTGACCATAGGCCGTTAGTGTGTGACAACCTTCCAAACTGAAATGCTTGAATGGATCTAGTTTTCTTCATGAGCACTCAATGATAAAGCAACATGTATGTCATAATAGCCCTTATCTCACTTTTTGGTCTGGCTTTTTGCAGTATTTCATGGTTATTGTTAGAAGATCTCAAACAGTATGTTACTATTTATGAGAGAGACTGAGAAAGTGTATATTTTTATTTTGTTATTTGCTGTTGCAGCTGACTTTTCCATGTTGTTCTTGTCCTATTGCTCCATTAGTCAACTTCATAAAATAATAAATATTCTGAAGAAACTAGCATAGAGCTTTCTTTAAAACCAACAGCATTCAGATTTTTTTGGATGCCTCATTGGTACTGCATGCAGCTTTATATATATATGTATGCATTTAATAGCCAAAATGAAAATTCAGAGTTATTTATAGATTATCTATTCTTGAAGAAATCTATTGCTCTACAGACTACATATTTTGTACATGCTATGAGTCATGTAAATGAGAAACATTGTTTTTAATACAAGAGAAACTCCAAGCAAGTTTGTAGAAGACATGTAAACATTTGGTAGAGAAAAGCTTCTTTTACATGGAGAGGTGATGGGGTGCAGATTAGTGCAATTATCAGCAATCATATTTAGATTATTGGAAAGGGATGAACATCATGGCTTAGATCCCACTTCTGGAAAATTTTAGAAAATTCAATACCTAAAATATTAATCAACAATCAGGATGTCATTCTGCTATCTTTCTTCAACACACGTTGTAGATCACAGCAGCAGATGTGAAATTCTCCCCATAAATCCACTGTCATATGTCTAATGTAGTCATCTTCCTTCTCCACGTGATTTCTGGTTATTCAGTGGCTTATGTGAAACAGATTGTAAAGTTCCTGTTTTTCATGGCCTGTAATAGGTAACGTCATACCTGAAGGAATTGTTTCAATAGAAATTTGGAACAATTTCTTATTTGGAACAATTATCGTCCACATATTGTTAAAGTCACAGGCAGGAATGTAGCACCTTGTACAGTCTTTATTCCTCTTGTATCTCTTCTTGTATCTAATAGATCTGTCTCTAGAATAATCAATTCAACATCCCTTACTACAATTGTAGCTGCTTCTTAAAAATATTACCATCATCAGATGACCATTCACCTTTCTACTCAGAAGATATTGCCAATAAAAATAGTACTGGTAAAAATCAGAATGGAGAGGAGAAATGGTGCTGTGTTTCATTTAAATTAATCTTGCAAACAGAAGTTGTTAAGATCTGAGAAAAGACTGCATCATTGTCAAAGAAGTTTAGAAACAGTACATGTAAAGAAAGTATCCAGAAAGGCAAATGTGGGAGACAAGCTACTAATTAGCTTTAAACATTGAAACTAGGCCTACCTATTCTCAAGTTATTGCTGTTTATTGTTAAAGACTTTGTTTATGATTTAATTTTTTTTTATTGTAAAAATACCTGGGATGATGATAGCAGACCAAATCTAGTCCCATTCTCTTCTTGCATACTTGTCCTACAGACTTTCAGACTTCACTTGTATCATTAAAAAAAAGCCCAAACACATTTTTAAAATGGGATAGTGAATGTTAAATGTTGGAACCTACCCTGCTGGCCTCTGGTACCATAAATCAGAGAGTAGCTCCCTCACCCAGTGTGAGGATGGAGGAAGATGCCCGAGTTGCCAGTGTTTCTTCTCAAATGCATGAGAGTTGTAATGGGCAGGTGTTGATCTCATCTGAGATTGTGCATGTGCACTACCGTAACAGGAGTCCTCCTCATTTTGTAAATAATATGTGAACCAGGTGGAAGTGCTTTGGTCCCCTCAATATGCAGATAAGGAGACGCAGCTCTTCATTATCAGGAGTCTCTTAATGACAGCATATTTTCTGACACAGCAGTTGAATAAAATGTAGCTGACTAAAACTCATTCCCCAAATAACAGGGGAGAGCTTGAAGTGGAATGAGGAAGAACTCGGAAGAGTGATTTAAATGGTGACTTTTTCCCCTGTGCTGCAAATACCCATTACCAAGATATGAATTAAATGCTTAATATTTACTGTCCTCTTTGAAATGAAGTCTTTGCTTCTAACCATCCGAACAGCATCAATGGGTAAAAATGTTGACTTTCATTGAAGTAGTGTGGTAGCACTTTTGCATGGATCACTGAGTTGGTACTCCTCAAAACCACAGTTCACCAACTTCAGCACATTTGCGTCATGTTCTTGAACTTAGCCTAAAGGGTACTTGGCTACTGCAAAGGTGCAGTAGCGTAACATCTCAGCAGAAGAGATTTGTAGGAATGCATAGGTTAGTACTTTCTCTCCTGTGTTGGATCCCAATATAATTCCAACTATGAGTCCCCATTTTGGAAGATCTGGATTTGATAAAATGAGATACATCAAAAGTACCTAGAAGTTTCTTTGTGTCAACAGTGATCAACAAAGTTGATCAAATAGCACTGTATGTAATATGTGGTATGACACCCTTCCATCTTCCTTTTCAGTTGTTTCCAGTTAATCAAATTATGACAATGTAATGGCATTTTCTTGCAGGCAGACTTCCAGGGTATGTCTGTGAGAAGATGAACAGCTTTGGCAGAGAAAAAGCAGTCAAGTTCTTCTTAGATGAAAAAATTCACTCTTTTGGGAGACCAGTTAGGGATGAATTATGTATTATGCTTCTGGGCCAACTTATTTTTAAAAACTATGCTGAAAAAATCTGCACTTGAATGTTTGTTTTATCTTTTATTTAATTTTAGACAGATCAGTCTTTGGGGACTGTTGGCCGGCAGGAAGAGTTTTTTGGCTTGGGCCATTATTCATGTTACTCATAGACGTTACAGGAAAAGTCCTGGATGATGGTAGATACATTTACTTTGTTAAAAAAAAATTAAATACCTCTAAAGCATCATACTTTTGCATAAATCCTTATCCACCTCCATGCAGTCATTTGTTTGGAGGGTCATGTAGGTGATTTGTGTGCCATATTTAATGCAATAATACCATTGGGCTCTTAGAACCCAAAGCAGAGGGTTAGAAATACTACCTCTGTAAAGTTAAGTATACATGTACAATATTATTTTTCATAGATTCTAAAAATTATGTGGGTTGCAAGGGACCTCTAGAGGTCATGTAGTATTGCTCAAAGCAGGTCTAGTTACAGCAGAGTGCTCAGCACCTTGGCCAGTTGAGTTTGGACATCTCTAAGGATGGAGATGTTCAAACCTCTTCAAGTATCTGCCCCAATAGTTGACCACTGTCATGGTTTAAAAAAAAAAAAAAAGTTTCCTTATATCTAGTTGGAGTTTTCTATGTTCCAGCTTACGTCTGTTGCATCTCGTTGCTGTGCACCTTCAAAAAGAGTCCATTTCTGTCTTTGAAGGCAGCAACAGCATCTTACCGTACTCTTCTCATAAGGCTGAACAAACCAGCTCACTTACCTATTCCTCATATAGGTGTTGCAGCCTGTTAGCCACCCTGGTGGGCCTTGAATGTACGAAACCCAGAATGTCATTGTGTCTTGTACTGGGAAACCCAAGGCTGAACACAGTACTCCAGATGTGATCTCACAAGTGCCAAATGGAGGGGAAGAATCACAGCCCTTGACCTGCTGGCTGCACTCTTGCTAATACAGCCCAGGATGTGGTTGGCTGTCTTTATTGTAAGGGCACACCTCTGGATCACGTTCATCTTGCTGTCCTCCAGCACCCCCGGGTCTTTTTTCTGCGAAACTGCTTTCTAGCCAGCCAGTGCCCAGCTTGTATTCCAGCACAGGGTTATTCCAACCCCCGTACAGGATGTTGCATTTTCCTGCATTGATCTTCATGAGGTTCCATTTGTCCAGCCTGTCTAGACCCTGACTTCTGGTCTGTTGACCACTCTCCCTGTTATTGGTATTGTCCACAAACTTGCTCAGAATATATTTTGTCCCATCAGCCTTGTTGGTAATAAAGATACTAAACAGTGTTGATGCTAGTATGAGTCCCTAAGGAAACAGCGAAGTTTGAGTCGCCAATATCTCAGCAGTTGCCTAAAAGGTGCAGGTTTAGACTTACACTGTCTTTAGAACACTGTGCTATGTGCCCTATAAGTTAAGTCACTGAAGTTATCTTGGACCTAAGTGGGGACTAGTGGTTTCTTCTCAGAAAAAAACCGAAGGTGACGCTTAGACTAGTACAAGTCATGTCTGAAAAGAGCAAAACTGCAGCTGCCCACCCATGGAAGTCAACAGGAGTCCAAAGCATGTGCGTGACAACTATCTGAAAAGACTGTAACTCAGTGGAAGAGATGCATACTTTGCTGAAACAGTTCAGCTGCTTTCCCCATTCCCTGATCATTACTTCAGTCAGTTGCACATTGAACGACTAACCTGTTCTTTCTCCAGTTTCTGCCTGAGATGCCTTGTATCAGTATTTCTTAAATAGGATAAAACGTTGTAAAAACTGAGTGGATTAAACATGTTCAGAATATTTTATACTGTCCTTCAGCGATAATTACTTCAGAACATGCAAGTGAGAATAAAATGAGGAAGAGTGTAGTCATCTTGTGCTGTTCAGCAAAAGTGCTATTGCCAGAAAAACATCCTCTGGGATTTCGTTGAGGACAAAAAAAAAAAAAAAAAAATCACAAAAGGACAGTCCTAATTACTCCGATTACAGCCATCAGATGAGTCCGTAACTTGTGATCGATGGTGTTACCAGCAGACTAGAGGTCAAATGTGGTCACTGTCAACTGCCTATTTTTTGTTTCATTGTTGGTCACCCGCTCTGTAGTGTCAGTGTGATGGCTTTCCCCTTTCTATTTCAAGTTGTCAGGTAAAATTCACTGTCACTAAATGAAGGTCAAAACCTCTTCACCTCTGCTTTGATTTGGGCAGCTGAAATCATCTTTCAAGTGAACAAATATTTGCATTGTAAAAGGGACTGTGTAACTGTAGTAGGTAGGTGTCTTGGAAGTTCCTTAAGGTGATCTGTTCCCTCGCTGTGGCTTTTCAAAAACACAGTTGGAATATGTTGATTATGTGGCGCAAACCAAATTTACATAGTTATTTATGCTGTGCTATTATGTTGCATAAGCAGCTGACTTTATTCTGTAGCAACACATTCTGTTTAAAATACATATTCAATACTTTGTAATTAAAAAAACCCCCACCCAACAGTAATATCACTGTCAGAAGACAATTCTTCTGTAGTTGTGTATCCCTCATTAAGAATACATTTCTTCTTCCTACCCATGATAGTCCCTCTTTTCTTATCTCCTACTGCCTTAACGTTGCATAAAACATCCAGTTTCTCACTCAGTATTTATCAAGTCCTAAATTCCTGTGTCCCCTACCTGTACGCTAATAAGAGGTAGCTGGCCATGAGTGGTGTGCTCTGATTAATTGACCAGCTGATGAGCCAGAACAGACCATATCGAACTCAAATTACAGAATTAAGTGGTACTTACTTGGTTTTCTGTCCTCTGAGTGGCCATAGTGTCCATCTGTTGTTGGCATGCCATCATTCCCCCCTGGTTTTAGGAACTTGGTATATTGCAGATACCTATTAAGTGTAGGGTTAATTAGTCAGGTTCTTAAATTATTATAAGGGAAATGGATAGTCATAGCCAGGAGTTATGTAAAGACTAACAGTAATATTTTTTACAATAAAATTGAGGGCGTTGACTAACTGTTGGCATATTTTTGTTAAGATTCTTACTCCCTAAAAATATATTAATTTTAGTATTAGAAGTGCAAAAAAATAATCAGATAGTTTCCAGTTGAAATATGTGGATGGAAGCGTATATCTCAATTTCCCGAGAGATTTAATAAACCATACAAATAGTGGACTGTAAGAGAATTTATTTTTAGAATGATAGCATATTGTGTATATTGGTTACATCAGTCCTAACTGTTCTTTAATGTTGTTACCTTCTCATAATAGCAGGGGTTTTCATATATTCAGTGTAAAGTTTATTCCATTTCTACAATCTCAGCAGTGTTCAGTATCTTACCTAAGCTTTCAGTTCTGATTACTTTTCCAAAAGATTCCTCCTTTATGTCAGCCAGGAGGAGGTTATCCAGGTTTGTTCTGTGTTCTGGTGTGGCCTGTTCAAGTTTGCCGGAGAAGGTTGCCTTCTTTTTAGGCAGCTGGCATGTGGTGATGAGGAGAGGAAGAAGGGTGATCAAGGAGGCGAATTTGTGGTTTTGATTACTATTCAGTTGTTGGATTTTGTCTGATTAGTGTTCAGTTATTTATTTTTATTTAGATCCCTATTTCTTGCTCAGCTGTTGGTTACAGGAAGAGGTTTACCCAAAATCTGTAAGCTGAAAGGGGCAATAAATGATTCCTGCGCACAGAGCTGGGATAACCTAGATCGTTACAAACTCTTTGTAGAGGAAACTAGTACAGATGCCTCTCTTTTACCCTTCTGTCACCACATATACTTCAGGAAAATGCAAGGGGATTTTGAACTCAAAAGTCACAAGTCTGAAGATACCTATGCAGGGATGAAATGAAGGCTTGCATCTCAAATTTTCTGTAACTTTCATTATTTTGCAAGAGCCTTGTTTCACCTCATTTCACGTTTTAGTCTTTTTTTTGACAAACCAATGACAAACCAAACTCACCTTTTTCTCTCTCCAGGTCTCCTGCAAGCGCAGAATCTCTTAACGCAACTACCTCAGCAAAGCCAAGCCAACCTCCTGCAGTCTCAGCCAAGCATCACCCTTGCCTCGCAGGTCAGGCTTATTTCTGCAGTTCATGAGTTGCTTTGAGGGGATTTAAACTATTGCAAGTGCATGGACCCTTTGTATTAGTTACTGGAGTAGATATCGTAGCTTTAATAGTGAGTTTGTCTTTCTAGATGGATTCAGTGTAGAACTGAAAAGTATCAGTAACTTCAGTTTTGTAGTTTCCACCCTAATGTGCCTCTTTTCATGCATTTAATGTTCTAAATTTTTATTTTTAGCTGAAAATTTCCATCATTGATATCTCAAATTAATGACACTAGAGCATCATTTGATTTCTTGTAAGATTTTCTTGGACAATCTACAAATTTGTGAAATTCGGAGGAGGAAGGCATGGGCTACCTAAAAAGCTCAAAAAGAGAATTACTGTCAAGTATCTTTCTTTCTAAAGATTGCAGTGGTAATCTGTCTTTATTGTCAGCTAGTTGTTCTGCTACTATTGCTAAGTCATTGCCAGTCTTATTAGTTACCTCCTGTGAAAGTGAAGAGATTGTTAGAAGTGCATTAAAATATTCTGTTAGATATATGTTAAAATATTAAAGCTTTATGATTAAGCTTTCAGACTGTAAGAAAAGCAACTTCAAGGTTGCACATGCCTGCAAATTTAGTTTTACTTCACTCTGGGTTTTAATGCGCAGTTTAGTTACATGACTGCATGCTGTTTCTCAAATACCATGTAATATCATACGGTATCTTCCTGCCAACTTGGTTACATATAAGAATTTTTTTAGTCTGTAATAAGATACTTGAGTCTATCAGAGTCTCAGAAAACTACATTTTCTATTGTACCACCTATAGTAGTTTTTGTGTACCATGTGGAAAATGGAATTTGTCTCACCTCTGTAGTTCATACCTCAATTAGCAGCGTGATTCCCTACTAAAGATTGTACTTGGATTAAAAAAAAGTATCAATACTACAAAGAGAAAATAAATTATGTAAAGGGGGTGAAGTCAATAAAGGCATATTGTAGTAATTACCTACTATGTTTAATGTAAATTAAAAAATAGTATAAGCCTTTATAGTGTGACACACATATCTACAATCCTAGAAAGATCATATATGATCACATTATTTCTCAAGTAATGGAATTACAGATCCTGACCTCCCTCTACCATCTGCTGTGCGCTGCAAAACACTGCACTAACCCAGGACAAAACCAACATAAAGAGCTACGTAAAGGCTCAGCTATATGTAGACCATTTCTTTTAGAACAGCCATTTCTGGACCTTTACATAGACTTTGCATAGTAGTGTAGTGTTGCATAGACTTGAGACTGTTCTTATTTGCCCTGAAGGAGTCCATAGTTTCAGAACTGGGCACAGGACATAAAAGCATGAAGTGACCTTTATTTAAGAGCCTCAGCTGAACTGAATAGAATTTAACTAGAGTATACGATTTGTCTCTGCATCTCAGTTCATCTATGGCATGTAAGAAGGTAGAGTAGTGCACTCAAAACATGTTTCCAGTGTTCCTGTTGCACATAAAGCCTGAACTGTGCAATACTAGATCTTAATGTATTTTGTTCATCTGTGAATATTTTCCATGATGCTCAGTTTTTTTCAGATTCTTATTATTGCTGCATAGCAAAATGCTCTAGTATGCCAGTGTTCAGGAATAGTGAACCTAGTGTGGACTTCCTGGAAAATTAGCGTTTTATGTAGAAGAAAAATGTGACCTAAAAGGAATTACTTTCTGCACATTGCCTTTGCTTAATTTCTTGCATCACCAGTATATTCATTCTTACTGTTGCAAGTATCAACAGAAGGGTTAGAGAGAGATCTATTTTTTTCTTACTGGAAGAATTGAGTCAGTCACAGGAGATGGAATTAGAGGAAACTTGCCATGTTTGTTGCACCTGTATATGCTTATTGTTCCAAGATTAAATAGAAGACTTGAATCTTTTGGGCTGATGACAATCTGCCACCTCACACAAGCAGTAAATTCAATTTTAAAATGATTAAAAGGGGATGAATGCCAAGCTGTCTGTAAATGATAGAACTATGTCAAATAAGGGTGTTCAGCCTTTCTTTGAGCAGCTTCTGTAGCAAACGAAAGTTGTTGGTTATCTGCTGCATTGAACATCTCTTACTTTTCTTTAATTGGTTTTGACAGAGCCTTTAAAAGGCTGTCATACTAATACAGTTTTCTGGATTGTGATTGCTCATTCTTGAGAGGAATGTAAATAAATTGGAGGAACTTTCAGATTGCTGGAAATGTCAAATTCATTGAGCTTTCTCTCAGAAACCTCACATGTCTTTTTTGAATTTAATTTTTGCTGATTATTCTGAATTGCTGAATTTCACCTTTTCCTTGCTATCTTAATAGCCAGCAACCCCAACACGCACAATAGCAGCGACCCCCATTCAGCCACTTCCACAGAGCCAGTCAACACCAAAGCGAATCGACACTCCCAGCTTGGAGGAGCCCAGTGACCTTGAGGAGCTTGAGCAGTTTGCCAAGACTTTCAAACAAAGACGGATCAAACTTGGATTCACTCAGGTGAGACTGCGTACCTTAGTGCCTGCCAGTGTGGAATCTGAGGTCTCATCTTTCAAGTCTGGAGGGAGACTACAATTCCACCTTTTCCTAGGAGAACCTTCTTAAACAGGGTTGTGCTCTGGCCTTTATGTAGGGGATTTCTAAGAAATAACAGAAAAAACCATACATCCATCTTACTTCCCTGTTGGTTTTAAAGCATAGCCATTTTCCCAGCAGGTATGTGCATTTACCCGCTCCAGATGTCATTGCATGTGCACTATTCATTCTATAGGATGTAAAATGAATGGGACAAAACACTTTAAAGCTGCCTTCAGAAGTACAAAGTTCCGAAAATCATACAGCACAATTAACTGCTCTCTGTGTTTAAAAAGTATATCACAACTGTGGAGTTGCTTTGGAAGTCAAAGGATTTTTATCTCTCAAGCATGTTTTCCTGTCAAACATCAATGATTTCTGTATTTAATGCTTTTGCTGAGGTTCCGAAATAAAACCTGAAAGGACTGTCACCTTTGAAGTTCTCTCCTTACAGAGGTGAACTGGAATTGTGGTTTGTTTTGGTTTGCTTAACAGCTCGGAAATACCCATAGAGCAGAAGAAAAGTAATCTTGTACATAGTGAAAATGGTTGAATGAGGAGTACAGTTTAAAATACAGAGTGCATTTATATGTTCTGTTACTCTGTTGAAGGGAAATGCTGCTTGAATCCAAGAGTCCTTCCTTATTAATATCAATATGAATTTTTTTCCCCACAAAATTAAAGTATCTGTCCAGGTAATCAATTAATTTTGGCAGGAGTCTGTGGTAAGCATCATTGTGGTTTTGCTAGAAGAAATAGCATGCAAAAATCAAAGTAGGTGTTTAAAAGTCTGAACTCAGAGCATTCAGTCCAACATATGTGATTTGTTCCCCCCCTGCCCCTGAATAAGTAAATCTACTCTAGCTGAAATTATGTGCTGAAGTCAGATTTATTTTTCTGGCAAAGTCCTAAATGTTTGAAAAAAATCAGTGTTCATAATGAAAGTTCCTGGCAGCATCTTAATTATAACTCAAGAACAGAATGTTCTTAGTAAAATGAAGTGCATTTTGCTGGCATGTGTGCCTCCTTCCCTCCCTTCTTTCCACTAGAGGGAGGCACAGAAATACAAGTGATGGACACACACAAAAGCTAGAATAGAGCAGAAAAGAATAGAGTAAAATACAATGGTTCCCTATAGCCTGACTGAGGAGGTTCATGTAGATCTTTAGTTATTATGTTTAATCTGCCCTGCTGTGAGATGGTTATAAAGGCTTAACTAGACTTTTTAAGTTATGGGTTAACCCTTCTTTATTGACCCTGTTGTGAATTTTCATGGTGAGGAAAAAGTAACAGAACTGCTCAGGCTTACATTTCAGTATTTGCTTTTGAGCTTAAAAAAGGAGAATCTTGAGAAAGTGATAAAATTGCATTTGATCGTTCCTATCCTACTCTGAGTTTGTATGTGTACAATTAGGCAGTTCTAATAACTTCCACCTAATTGCATTAATTGGATGATGATTAGAAACCCCTATTACTTTGGTTTCCTATAGTTGGATAAATAGACTGCCTTTCAGAGGATAAAGGAAATTTATTTGCAGTGGTACTGTAAGCCTTTTCAGACTCACACCACCCCTGCCTTTCAAAAATAATTGTAAGATTTAGTTTGCATTGCAAACTAATCACTTACTACATTCTGTTTTGTGAACAATATAACAGGTTTTGAATTTCAGCAGTTCTGTCTCTTCTCCCACCCTGAAAAGTAGGTGATGGATTTAAATCCTTTTCTTTAATTGTTTTCCTTAAAAATATCTCCATGTTTGACATGCAGAGACACAATGAGCGTACTGCATCTTAGCATTATTGCAGGTATGTGACTAATTGTTCAGTACAGATTTAGGCTATGTGTTTGAACATTTTAGACAATGTTATTTTTATTCTGTAAAAAGGTATTACCTCTGCTAGTCCCTCTGAGCTCCTTAACAGACCAGTACACACAGCAATGATGTAGCTTATAATCAGTTTCAGTTCAGTCCAGGGGCTTCATTTGACCTACAGTAGATCAGATACACGTGTATACAGTGCCTTTATCCTCTGTTCCATCCATCCTTTCAGTGGCCCATCCCAATATATAAAATTCCCATCCCAGTATGTAAATTCCTTTGCCTGCAGCTGAAATGCTGCCACCTTTTGGCATTGAAAACTATTGACAAAGAAATGGTTAACTATTCATTTTAAATCAGATGGCAAATGTTAGTAAGAACAACATAAATACCAGAATTGAGTTTAGTTGGGGGCCTGGAGCAAACTTCATAACTCTTTCCTGCCACGACAGAAATCAGCTTGCCTTTAAAATCGTTTACATAGCCAGATTTTCTTCCTCATAAACCCAATAGAGCATCCATGTTACTTCTCTTGGAAAGATTTATGTGTTTTAAAATGCATGGAATCCTGGCATATGGGTAGAGGTATAAATGTGAGTTCCCATGTGTTTCCTCTGATTGAAGGGCATACAAACCAATTGTTCTGGTCCTCTTCTAGGAAGAAAATTGTTTTCTTTACGCCACCTGCACAATTTACTAAGCTTACCAAAGGTGGTTTTCTCCCTCACTTGTATGTGGCCACTCTGCTTGCTATTAGTATACCTGTATCAAGCTGTGGTTGTGGATCTGACCTAAAAGGAAAGACGGCAAGCCTTACGCACAATCCAACTAACCCATTTGCTATTAAACTCCACTAACTATGCTCAAGCTTTTCAGTCTCTTCTTCTAAGCTTTTCATACTTTTTTGTGTTAAAAAATAAAAATCTAAATTAAACTACTTTAGACCAAATAGCATACTTTAAAAATAATTACGTTTTTTTCAAAGGGCAGGACCTTCCAGCTTTAAAACAAAACAAGAAAACATTATGGTGTTTTTAACGGGCACAATCAAGAATGGATTGATTTTTTTTTTTTTTTAAACAAGACTTTCCAAGGGTAAACTACATACAAGTGTATACATATATATATATTTGGATAAGCAAAATGTCTGCTAGCTAGCTAAAACTGAGTTTTGAAGAGCAGTAATGGATGTAAAGAGATGATCATCTTTCTGTAAATATCCTTGATGGCTTTTTGCAGATGGGTAATGGTAGTGAAGACTACAGTTATTCATTATTTGAAATGGTTCAACTTCTTGTCCACTCTGAAATATGTATCTGTGAGGAGAAGTTTGATTTGAACCTCAGAAGATACTAAAAGTTTAGATAAGAATATTTTTGCATCTATTTAAATGTGATATATGTTTGCAGACATCTTTTCAAGAGTGTTTTCTACTAATGTGAGAACATGAATTCACTGCATTTCTGCTTATTTGAACCTTTCTTCTTCACTGTGAAATATGCAGATATTTAAATCTGCTCTTAAAGAGAGCTTGACCTTTACTTATTTTAAAGAACTAAGAAAAAAATTACAAGTTAATATTCAGTGGAATGTTCTGCTTAGTGATAATGCTAAGAAGAGAAAGCATCAAGGATTTCCTGGAAAGAGTTACATGGTTAAACTGACTGAGGTTTGACAGCCTGAATCTTGGTAGCACCAGGCAAGTTTATGTGAAACTGAAATTCCATGCAGCAGTGGCGTCACTAAGAGAACACAAGAATGTGACAGGATTCCTTGCTTTTGAAGTGCCTATGTTAGTGAACCCTTTTTTTCTCTTTCTTTGTCCAGGGTGATGTTGGGCTCGCTATGGGCAAACTCTATGGAAATGACTTCAGCCAAACTACCATCTCTCGCTTTGAAGCCTTGAACCTCAGCTTTAAGAACATGTGCAAGTTAAAGCCACTTCTGGAAAAGTGGCTCAATGATGCAGGTGAATGAGTCTGTGTATTTCTTCACCAGCCTACCAAAACCAATAGGATTCTGAAAAACTCTGAAAAACTGCTTCGTTTGTGCCCTTATGGTTTTATGAAGCTACTAATCTTTGTCACTGTCCATGTGACAATTAAGAGTGTAGGAATAAGGGTCCGTACTTCCTTTTTCCTGTGCCTATATACATCTGAAATTGTTCCAATATGAACTTTCAGAATTGTGTTCTGCAGCCAGCTAAATAATTGCATGGGGTAAGGTATAATATGTGTTGTGGTTTTCCTCCTTCGTGTATGTCAATGCATATAACTTCTAATCTTCTTCTAGCTTTCTTTTTCAGATGTATAGTAGAGAGAGGGTTGCATGGTTTGTTGTTTCATTAGGCAGAGCTTATTGCATTCATCTCCTCCAACACCTCTAGGACCGTTCTTTTCATCTCTCTACGAGATACGAGAGTCCGTATAAACACTCTCTTTTTCCCTATAAGAAGGAAGGTTTTTGTGGGTTAGGTTTTGCTTTTTCTTACCAGAATTGTTTTTTCCTAGGATATAAGTTATTCATGATACCAGTGTTGGTAGTGTTCTTTTTTTTTTTCTTTTTTTTTTTTTTTTTTTCCCACCAGCAAAAGGAGCGTGGATGGTGGTGCTAGGTGTTAGGATAGAAAGTGTTTGAGTGCTGTCAGCCAGTTTTTTGTTCCAAGTTTACAACTGCACATAGTATGAAACTGACGGATCTGCTAAAACAGATGGCAGGGACGGTGTGTGCCTTCCTATTTTTGCCAAAATGAAGAGTGCTTTATGCTGATGCCTGTAGTATTCTCTGAAATTTTGAAAGTAATACACAGTGTTGAAAATTTGTCGTGCCTTGAAACAAGGAAGTGTCATTCTGTTGTGCTGACGAGGTATCTTCAGGTAATCTAGATCTGTGATAGAAAACATAAAGATCTTCACACTGAGAGCTCTAGTCCACAGGCCAGTGGTCCCCAAACCTTCCAGGAACACTGGATGAGCCAAGTGCTGTGAGGAATGTCATAGTTTGCTTTTCCTGCTAGCCTGAAGAAATACTTGAATCTGTAAAGTTAAGTTAAGGACTGTAAACGGTGTCAGGGTCCATCACAGCCTGGAAGTGGGGAACCATTGTCTTTGGCTGTGATTCAGTTTCATGAAAATCTTTGGAAGAAAGATTCAGATGACTCTAAAGGCTACTTTTAGGTAAAAACAGGCAGGAGAAGCAAGCCGGTGATCCCTTCCGTTACATTATGTTGGACTGTTAGAGAATTTATTGTTGCAGAACTCAGCTTGTTCTGTGGGGTGTTCGGGATGGAGAGGGGTTTTAGCACATTTATGAGTGCCATTACTGGAAAAAAAAAAAAATCTAGAAAATAATGAACTGAATATACTTGCCCATTTGAGCCTACCAGCATGATCTTAGGCATTGTGGTAACTTTGACACGTGCTTATCACCCACAAACTTCAGTGCAGTGAGGGATCTCCAGCCATAATTAATCATTTTGTTTAAATTCCCTGCTGGAACCTGCCTGTTGGTTATTTTGCACTTTCTACTATGAAGCGGGGTGGAGTGTGTTCTCTCTTTGCTCTTCTGTGGACCCAAAAAGACAGGATTAGAGGCTGACAGCTAGAGAACTAGTGAAGCTAAGGAGGGCGAGCTGCTAGCTGTGTAGACTGTTCGGTAGAACTGCATAGCACTGGGTATCTGCTAAGATCTCCAGAGAAAAGATGTTGAACACTGTGAAGCTGGCTATGAAATTCCTCTTCCTCTAGTGTATTGCAGAGTGGGTAAAAGAAATTTCAGGCTGCTCAGATTTTTTTTCATAAATGCCTGTGACTTACAACTGTAGCTCATGGATATCAGTTACTGCTTTTTTTTCTTTAAACTGTGACTTGCAGTGAATGAGTGTGGGGTGGAAAGAGATAAGGGAGACAAACTTTGTATAGGTATTATAAAAGGGATACTGTGGTAGCATACAGGAGCAGAGAGCGCCCACTGGGCTTACTTACAGCTTTTAAGTTTCAAGTTGTTATTTAGAAATACAATGATTAATGCGTGCGATCTTCAGAAATCTCTGTATATCTGGTGTAGATACAGAGTGGGTTTTAACATACCTTGCACAGGTGAAGAACACTTACATTAGGCTGCACTGCATTCAAATAAAATCTCCTGATTTATGTTACTTTCTTTTTTCAGAAAACCTCTCATCTGATTCAACTCTCTCCAGCCCAAGTGCTCTGAATTCTCCAGGGATGGGGATTGAAGGCTTGAACCGTAGGAGGAAGAAACGCACCAGCATAGAGACCAACATACGTGTGGCCTTAGAGAAGAGTTTTCTGGAGGTCAGTGATCCTGTTGCTCTGCTCAGTCTATAAAGAAATGAAGAAACTTTGCGTAACAATCATATGTTAGAGATTGTTAGAGAGTGAACCCATTACTGTGCTATTTAGGGAAGTGCATGTACTCAACAAGGTGAATACAAAGGCTGTGCCAAGAAGCACATATCAACATCTACTTTGCTTAAAAAAAACCCAAAAAAACCCAAAACCAACCAAACAAAAACCCAAGCAACCAAAACCCCTCAAAAAAACTCATTGGTTCTTGCAGTTCGCTGACTTTGTGGTTTTGCATTCCAAGATACTGAACCATAGATCTAAGCTCGATATCCTACACATCAAAAAGAATTAAAAAAGGTTACCCTTTCTGAGAATGGATAAGTGGGGTGACAGTCTAAACATACATAATGTGAGGTCTTTAGCTGGCCTTATGTTACTCTTGTTAGGCACTTTGTGCAGCTCTATGGGCAGGTAACCTCTGTAAGTAGCCAGTTCAATCTACCTGTCTTTCATTATAGGTCTAGACAACTTGGAGTTCATTTGTCTATTGCTGTAGTTAATCTCTCCTATTCCTTTTTGAGAGAGGCTGAAAGAAAGATTTCCTTATCAAGGTCTAGAATTCCTTGAAGGATTAACTGACAAGTCCGATCCCGTCTCTCAAAAAGAAGCATGTGAGCTTAGTCTTCATCACCTGTCTCTGAGGAACACGGCTTACTATTGGTAGAAATGTTCCTGTAACTAGGAAGACAGAGGGCAGAAGTATCTATTATGGTCTATCTCTACTGTACCGCTGACCAGATTCTGGATATAAATGGCCCATCCAGATTTCTGCATAGAGAAGGAGGAGTTATAGTGTAAAACTTCAGAAGGTAATTTCACAGCTTTTCAAGTACCGTTTCCTTTTCTCAGAACCAAAAGCCTACCTCGGATGAGATCTCCATGATAGCTGACCAGCTAAACATGGAGAAGGAGGTGATCCGCGTTTGGTTCTGTAACCGGCGCCAGAAGGAGAAAAGGATCAACCCACCCAGCAGTGGTGGAACCAGCAGCTCGCCCATCAAAGCAATTTTCCCTTGCCCAACCTCACTGGTAAGAATCAAGAAACTGTGCTGACAGAAATCACTGGAAGAGATAGTTCTACTGTGCTCACTGTGGAATTTGCACATGCTACACCTTCTTTGTACAGCAGACTTGTTCTCACAAATTTCTATTTTACTGGCATTTTAAATATCGTACTTGCATACTATCTAAGAGAGAGAATGCTTACAGTCAGGCACTAATTGGGCCTTCAGTTTGGGTGTTTTATTTAGTCGGCTTGTGAGTAAATATTCTGACTAGCAAATTTGCAGTTGAGGTTATTGCTTTGAACACATTCCAGATAGTAATTCTAGTTTATATCTGGACTTTCTCTCTTGCCCAAACTTTTTTTGTAAAATAATGGTAATAAAAAAATGCTTAACAGCTCTACCACTCCCCTCTTATTTTGGCTGCTCTGATAAGTAGATGAGCAGCAGTAAAATGTATCATTTGGAGACTTAAGTCACACAAATCCAATGATACTGTTGTTGCCACTTTTAGTCAGGAATGATTTGTATAAAAAAAAGACGTGGAACAAAGGAACAGTTTAGCTAATACTCATGTAATTAATTTCCCACACTTGTATTTGCCTCAGGTAAACACAAACTTCATGAAAATAAGAGTAACAAAACACATGCATCAAGGTTCCTTCAGCTCCTTTGCTACCAATGTCCATGGAGGTCTGTTTTCATAAATAGAAACAGTAGTTATTAGATTTCATAGTAGCTATGATAATAGGAATGTGGTGGAATTTATGTAGCTTGTAGCTGTCCTTTTGTAGTATTTATTCCACCCGCATCACTGTAGTAGCTAATATCTTCCAGTACTTCATTAAACCATTAATTTTGGTGACATGTCATTCTTTCCCCTCATCCTTGTCTCAGGATGTGTGCATGCAACCTTTTGTTTCAGGGGAAGGGATGTGTTAAATGTACTTAGTCATTTTTTTTTTTTTTTTCTCCCCACCAATTGGAAGGCAAGGTTGCATGCCTTGCTACCGAAGCAGAACATAGTAAGATTTATGATGGTGTGTTTTAGTACCCATGCAAGTTTACTCAGACTGCAACTTAAGAAAGCTTTCCTACATAAGTTTCCCTTTTATTATAAACTGCTATTGTATGTAAGAAATTGAGGTGTTAGCAACAGTCTCCATTTTTTCAGTGATGTTTCAGTAGGCATTTTCACTCATCATAAGCATCTCTTAAGACTGCGCTACTACTCAAATGGATGTTCTGGCCCTGCTACTCCCAGTCTTCACTGGCTATGTGCTTTGTTGATTCCTTGTGTCAGCTCTGGAGATTATGCATCCCTAAAATGACTGGGCTTAGTTTACTAGTTTGACTGCAAATTAACCGTGTGAAGAACAGTGATCAATTTTCAGTATGGCTAGATAACCAATCTGACTTGTAGCCTGGCAGCACAAATGCTAGGACTCTGAAGCAGGATTGGAGGGGAATGTTCCTTTTGATGGCAGCCTACTTTTGCATTGTTTGAAGCCAGTCATTGTAACCACGGGGTTAGCTGTATTAATTCTAGGTCATTCACTGCCCTGAAATATGGATTGTGACCTTGGTCTTAACTGTTTGGTGGACAGCCCATATCTGGGCTGAATTAGTGGGAAATGTACTATGTATCTAGTTCTTCTTTATTTCATACACTGTATGAGATGGGCAGAAAGCTTTAGGTCTGTCCCAATTGCCCCAGTCTTGTTTAAAATGCATGAAGCATTTGGCTTCCTATAAGAGGATATGCTGCATGAGAGAATTTCTCTGATAATAGACGTAAGGTAAGAGGGGAAAGGAGGAAGGTTTTAGGCCATATCCTTGGCTATGTTCTCTTGGGCAATTCTAAAGGATTAATTTATCTCATTGATGTATAACAGCTTTCAAATATTACTGTTGGACACCATTTCTTGTCCATAAAATGTCCTTTCTCTCCTTATTTCATTTTCCTCACAAGCTAGTTCTTCCAGCCCTAAATCTTTGGTGTTTTTTTATCTGTAATGTTTTCAGTTTATTGTAGCTTTCTCGTAATAAGCTGTCCACAAGTCAAATTAGCTAATGTCATTTCAATGTTTTAAAATTCAGAGATCTTTCCTCTGGCACAAGGAAACTTATCAAAGTAGAGCTTATAGTTTGGTTGAGTAAAAGCGAGATGTTACTCTCTTTATCTGTGTAAATACATTACCCTAAATACCTTTGATAATGCTGGGGAATTTAAATAATTTTATCAGAATAAGAGATTTGGAGCTGAAAAAATGTTTAACCAAGAAAAAAAAAGCAGAAATAATATATTTTGTAACTCTTATAGAAAAAGAGTGACTCTAAAACAAGGTACTTCCTTTGGAGGGAGGCAGAGAGGGAGGGCTAACTTGCAGTCCTGAGGCAGTATGGAGGTAATGGATGTATCTCCCTTCAGATGCTGAATGATTAAGATCAAAGATATTGCTGGTAATTGGAGAAGGTACTATAGTTGGCCTACTGAATGATAAAGTAATGGAATTACAAGAAAGTTAATTTATATGCAGTGTTTTCCCTGATAATTTCCTCAGCTGAGGACGGGAAGAAGGAAATCCAAGTCTAGTAGCCAATTTTTTGTCTTTTCACAGTTGAGCAGTTGTATTCTTTTTTGACCTCCAGGTGGCAACCACGCCAAGCCTTGTGACTAGCAGTGCAGCTACAACCCTGACTGTCAATCCTGTGCTCCCTCTGACCAGTCCTGCTGTAACTAGTCTGTCAGTCACAGGTAAGGGCTGATTTCTCTTCCTCCACATTAATCTTTACCATTTTCCCCTTCTTTTAAACTCTTCAAAAGGTCGTTCAGTATTGGTCATTGGTATCCCAGGACACTCTTGTCATTGTTCCTTGTTACTCCGCTAGGAAACTTTAGTCTTTGTGACCATTCAGTTGACTTTTCTGGGAATAAAATCACAGGTGATACTGAAATGAAATATACTATATTCCATTGCTAGCTTCTGGAGCTCCTCAGCCTCCTGTTGGGAGGTGTCATTTCATTGTAGTCTGAGCTTCTCATTTGGACTCTTGGTGCTTCTTGGTCCTGCAGAAATGTGTGTTTGTCTTCCTTTCAGTTGGATGTACAGTTCAGTTCAGTTGGGTAGTGTTTTCTGTTCAGTCACATCTGTGTTTTGTACCGATCTAACCAGAATCAATCTTCTAGGCACAACAGAAACCACCTCCAACAACACAGCAACAGTGATTTCAACAGCACCTCCAGCTTCTTCAGCAGTGACATCACCCTCCCTGAGTCCTTCCCCTTCTGCCTCAGCCTCCGCTTCAGAGGCATCCAGTGCCAGTGAGACCAGCACAACACAGACAACCTCCGCTCCCTTGTCCTCCCCTCTTGGGACCAGCCAGGTGATGGTAACGGCATCAGGGTTGCAAACAGCAGCAGCAGCCGCGTTACAAGGAGCTGCACAGTTGCCTGCAAATGCAAGTCTTGCTGCCATGGCTGCTGCAGCAGGACTAAACCCAGGCTTGATGGCATCCTCGCAGTTTGCAGCTGGGTAAGGATGAATTTTTCACACCTTTTTAGGTGAGATGACAGAAGAGGAAAGGCGAATTCTTGGGATAAATTGCTTTTATGTATCACTGTTTTCTGGTAGCTCACTTGGTGATTCTCGTGTCATTTATCTCAAATTCTGAAGGTTTACTTATAGATGGTAACTGGCCAGTCCTATCAATGCACACAAATATTGTTTTTATTTTACAGATGAAAAAGCTATGGTGCAGCCATCTTGTTTTTTAAGTTATCCATGCTATTGCAGAGCTTGACTTAAGAGCTGTGACTTACCAGTGAATCATAGAATCTGTTCTACTAATTGTAAAATCGAGAGCTAGCCTAGACCCACTTCATACCTCTGTATTCATTTCTCCATGATGAGAAAGAAGCTGTAAAAGATGCACGATGATGTATTGTTGAAGTTCTAGTTTTAAATATGTTGCTCTGAGAGATTTTGTTTCTTCAATTCCTCTTGAATTACACCTTATCTGAATTTGGGAGATGATGATAGCTCTCTAACAAGTGGCAGTTTCCCTAAAGTACTTTACAAGAATATTTTACAGCAACAGTCAATCAAGTCATATATTTACAGTGCCTGTACAGCTGAAAGGCAATGTCTACTTGAAGCATCATGAAGGAAATAAAAAGTCTCTGATCTTTCCTCTCCCTGCCCCTTTCTTTTTTTATATGATCATGTACTTCTGAACAGTGACAACCTTTTCTTAAAAGTAACACTCCTTCTCTTTGTCTTTGTTTCTTTTTCCACGATCTTGCTTCCTGCAGAGGTGCCTTACTCAGTCTCAATCCAGGGACATTAGGTGGTGCTCTCAGCCCGGCCCTGATGAGCAACAGTACACTGGCAACTATTCAAGGTCAGTAGAGTTCCTTTTAATGCATCTCTGTCATATAACTTCAGTTTACGTGCTTTGTTTTTCCTCTACCAAAAAAGAACACTGACTCCTCAGCACTGGACATAAATGTTATAGGAGTTAAAGATTTTACAAAATTTAAATGTGCAAATACAAATGTATCACAGAGGTAAGAGCAGTTACAACTTCAGAAAGGGGATTAGAATTGTGTATGATCTTACAGTGATTTACAGGAGGCCTTTAAGATACTGAATGCGATCTGGAATTTATTTTGTTATCCCCTCCCCACTGGCATGTATCTCCAGCAAGTCAGAGATTTGCGTTTTGTACCTCTTCTACTATAAGCTTGAGCAGAGTTGTGCTGTTTTGAGATCTGTTAGGAGGGCAGTTCCGAGCAAGACTTGATCCTAAATTCCTGTCCTCATAGGTACTTAAAAAGAACCCACAACAAACAGCCTACCTCCTGAAGTTCTTATGCAGAACTTTAAATCCATAAATCCTTATTCAGAGGAGTAAAGATTTATTTTGGAAGTGCCACTCGGCCAGAAGTTTCCACTGACTTTAGCAAGAGTTGTTCTCAGTTCATAGATTTTCATCTGTCAAAACTAGATAGTGCAAGTGCCTAAAGAGCTGGCTAACCTATGTATTCAAATATGTTCTAAACTAGCTTAACAAATCTTATTTCCAGGGTACAAGAAAGAACCATTTTGTAAAGTGTCACAGATAAATTTAGGAGATCATAATCTAAGGCAGACTGAACCCTGTAGACCTGTGCGAGTAAGTTGTAACAGTGGTTATATGTCAACTTTTAAAATGTTACACTCAAGGTTACATGACATTCTTCATCTTGTGATAGCTGTCCTTTCATGTGAACGCTCATCTCAACGCTTTCCAGCACAGGTTGCCTGAATGTACAGGTTTTCTGTGGCAGGAAACATAGGCCAGTATTGTGCTTAAAGATCTGAAGAAAAGCATGATGGAATTAGTTTAGGAGCAGATGACAGAGACATTTTAGTATCTGCAAGGTCTTGTCCACTCTTCATAAAGAGTGGTGTTTTTAAAAAACAGCCTATGATGAGGTGACTGTGGTTCATGGTGTAGAGAGCACTCGTATCAGAGACCAGTTGCTTTTAGGCACATTTTGCATTATTGCTTGCTGCTAATGTAATCTCCTCCCTGCTCAATTTTCCCTTTTTTAGCTCTTGCATCTGGTGGCTCTCTTCCAATAACATCACTGGATGCAACTGGAAACTTGGTGTTTGCCAATGCTGGAGGTACTCCTAACATCGTAACTGCCCCTCTGTTCCTGAACCCTCAGAACCTTTCTCTGCTCACCAGCAACCCGGTTAGCTTGGTCTCTGCAGCTGCAGCCTCCGCAGGGGCCTCTGGACCAGTCGCCAGCCTTCACACCACCTCCACCTCAGCTGAGTCCATGCAGAACTCTCTCCTCACAGTGGCCTCTGCGAGCGGGGCCACGTCCACCACCACTACTGCCTCCAAGGCACAGTGAGCCGGGCTGAGCTGTGCTGCCAGCAGCCTGTTTCACTGTGCGGTGGGATTGGCTGCCAGCGGGGTTTATAAACTGAAAATGTGATGGGCATCCTCTCACCGTGTTGCTGGGGACAAGGGAGAGAAGGAAAAATATAAAAAACAAAAGCAAAACAGGAAGGATTTAAAGCTGGGACAGACATTTGCCTAATTTTATAATAAACACTGTCTTTTCAGGATCGCTTCATGGATCGGAGAACTTTCTAACCAAAAATGTAAAAAAAACAAAAAACAAAAAAACAAAAAAACCACAAAAAAAGTGAAAGGACTACTTATCATTTCCAGCAGTCACAATGACAAGTTAAGGTGGGTTATCAACGCAAACATAGGAAGGGGATTTCTTGTTTCGTTTTGGTCTAAATATCTTTCTTTTTTAATTATCATTTTATAGGTCTGTTGTACAGGCCATTATGTCATACAAGGTGTTTATAATCGTATCAATCATGTTGGGGGTTCCTTTCTTAACTGGTACAATTTAGGCAGGCCTGTATTACTGGTGTATCTCTATTATTATTATTATTATGATTATTATTA